TCTCCGAATCTGTTCTGCACCCACTTTCATGGTCTGAATTGGTAAATGAAATCAGTGGTGCAAATGTATCAAGGTGAATATTGGGAGCATCAGCATCTCTCTTTATAAATTTTCTGCTTTTACCTGTATAATCCATAACTGCAATCAAGATGTAAGCATCAATTGAAGCACATAAGATAAATAGTAATACAGTTATCCAGACTAGTTTTCTAGATAAAATTAATGCATGGGTTGATTTACGAAAATTGGACAGAAGAAGTTAACCTATGGAGTGGAACAAAGATCAACTTAAGAGTCTTAATATACATGATCCGGTTGATGGTTAACACGTGATCAATGATGGTTTAACTTTTGAATAAGCTAATGATAATTCATATAAAAAAGACACATGTTTTCTAACTTCTAATTATATAAAATGACTCCCTTTCAAATAAAATGAAGATATCAATGCAATTTAAGTTTCACCTACGGAAATGATATGCATCAGGAACATGATTTTATATGGTTATGTAATTATCCACGAACACAANNGTTATGTAATTATCCACGAACACAAAATGAATTTGAGGCATGTTTGTATAAAGTGGAAAAAAGCCAAAGTTCAGAATGCAATTCTTCAATATATATTTCGCATCACTAAAAGGATCATCTTCTACAGACTGCTTGACATGTTATATCAATATTGTTCTTCATGGTATGGTTCTTCAACAAAACTAATGAGTTTTCAGTTTATTAAGAAGCAAAAGCCAATTTACTTTTCATTTTCTATAAAAAAAATGAAATTTATATTACAATTCTCCTTTCTATAAGCACTCCCTTCAGCACTTATTTCTTACCAACACGATACCATATCAATGAGAATGAACAGCTAAAAATGAAGAGACAATAATCACATTTTACCCAAACATTTCCTTATTTAATGTAGCCAACTGACCTCTAAATCAAGGAGCCTGATATCAATCTGCGCCGGAAATCCTATGTCCTTTTTTGCCAATCCAAAATATAGAAGTTTTCACCCAAAAATTATCTTAAGAAAAAACCCACAAAATGTAGAAAAAGCCAACAGATTAAATTTTAACAAAATGAAGCAAAATATGAAAGAAAACCCAGATTGGGTAACTGATAAATAACGATTTACAAATGGGTGTCGCCTTGATTTAATTATAGGCAGGCTCTTAAATGGTAAAACTCAATTTTCTTGTTTCTTGTCATTATTTTACCTTCACATTCTAAGAATTTTTCCCATCTTTGTTTTTTGATAAGAACAATCAGATATCAATGAACTGTAAAACAATTGAGAAAATAAAGAAGCTGATTAGGGTTTTTTAGGAAAAATAAAATTTGAATAAAAATGGAAGGCAG